CTACCCACCTTGGGGTGCATGTGGAAAGAGCAATTCTGGGCCAAAAATCTTCACGCTATGTGGAAAAAAAACCCAAACATTTCAGGGGTCGGTGCCGGCGAGCTGTGCCGTGAGGGGAACGAGGGGACGATGTTGCCGGGGGGGCTGAGGCGGCGATGGCGCCTGGGGCGCGGGGGAGGGGGTGGCCGCGGCCTCCGCCACCCCCATGGCCGAGTGGAAATGCGCATTTCTGGGCATTTTCACATCCTTCTGCAAAGGCGGCGAGGAGAAGAAGGGGGGGGGGGGGAAGGTCAGGTTTCACCCGCAGCGCTTTCGCCGCCAGCCTGGAGGGGATACGCACATCAGGAGGAGCCCCTTCGCCGCGCTCCTGGCACGGCTGAAGCCCACGCTCGCCGCCCCGGCCCCCGCAGCCGCCCATCGTCCGTCCTTCCCCCCGCTGCCCGCCCGGCGCCATTTTGTCGCCTCGGCGCCGCTCGCTGTGGCCTCGCCGGGCGGCCATTTTGTGAAGCGAGCGGCGGGGCCGGGGGGGGGAAGTGGCGCAGTTCCTGCAGTACCGCGGGCGCGGCGGCGCTGTGGAGCCAGAGGCGGCGGGGCCGGGCCGGGCCGTGGGGGGCAGCCCACGGCCTCCTCCTCCTTTTGTCAGGCAAATACCCTCCCTTTTGTTGCTTGTATCTCTTTTTTTGCCACAAAAAGCGTGGTGCCCTTAGAACACCTGGTGGAGGCCGATCGCCTCAGCAAGATTCACCGTCGGACGAAGCAATCCGATAAAGGAGATTAAAGTCTATTCCCCCGGCTGGGCCGTGAGGGAAAGTTTAGCCGCACGGAGAATTAATATTTATTTTTAGGAGCTATTCCCACCCCCTGCTCCTTCCAACTTTTTTCCCAGTGATAAATCACTGAGGTCAATAAGCCGCCTTTGACAAACAGGACAACCTCTGCGACAAATCTCTCTTCTTTTTGTTTTTAAACCCCTCACCTATGGGCCCTAATGGACACTCCAGCAAAATAAAGATGCAACGTAAACAGCTTGAAGCCAGGTCTGGGTGAAAATTGTTAATTTTGGGGAAATAGGTTTGCGGGATGCTGTAGTCACTGCTGATACAATGAAGGAAGGCTAGGTTATGAAATGTCAAAGCCCTGCTTGCAGGCATGTGCCGTGCATCTATTTTCAGAAACAGGGTGTGTTGGGGGTTTGGGGTTTTTTTCCTTTTTTTTTTTTTTTCAATTGTTTTAAATAATCCAGTGTATCACTTGCAACCTGGTAACACACATTAACTGTCTGCATCGATTTTGCCTTTGTGTTATCAAAAACACATCGTGCTTTAAAAATAAATTGTGGCACTGGGTGTTTCAGTTTTGTGGGGGAAAATGGGACAAAAAGGAGAATACTGCTTTTTTTTTTTTTTTAATACATCCTGCTGGTGCTGCATAATGAAGCTAGAGAAACTCAGGGCTTGGGCTGGTCCCAGAGTAATCCGTGGTTCCCCACCCCCCTCTTAGCCAGCAAGATCAGTCCACTTTTCATTTAAGAAACAGTAGTTTTTTAGGTTGTGTCAAAGACAGGAAAGGGCAGAAAATGGGTCCGAACACTCTGCAGGGAAGGACAATGCTGCAGCAAGCCAGCTGGGATATGGTTGCAATTAACCCCGGTCGACCAAAGGAAAAACCCAGTTTTCCTCCAGCTCTCTCCATCCCATTTGAAAAAAAACAACAAAACATCATCAGCACTAAGCACGTGACCTTCCTCCCAGAGCGTTTTCCAGCCAGCAAAGCCCCAGCAGCTGCTTCAGCCTCAGTTTCCCCTCCTGCAGCATTTCCCTCTGCTCAGCCAGCTCTTTCCCAGCTCCTTGAAGGTAGTGATGGCAGAGCGAAGGCACGCAAGGAATCCGGCTCATCTCTCCCTCTCTGCTTTTTGCATTTCTCACGGCTGACTGGGGCGAATGCTGAGGAAAAGCATTTTCCAGCCTGTTTCGCTTTATGGGCTCGCTTTCCTTGTGCCATGCCAAAATCTTCGGCTTGCAAACAAAACCTGCAGAAAGGCCTTATATATTACAAAGCAACACTTTGACTACTGATTTAAAAATACTATGGCCATGCCTGTCAGCTCCTCCTTTAATTTAAAAACTCCTTTTAAAAAACAGGCAGTCCTTTGAGTTGCAAGAAAGATTAACCTTTGGTTTTTTTATGGGATACACCGTTGTATTCCTGGGAGCAAATTGGACTCGCAGCAGGGCACGGTATCGGATGCCTTTGCTGGGAAAACCCAGGGAAATTTTATCCCCTGGCCGCACCCAGCCTGAAGTGAAGAAATATTTGCATTTGCTTCTCCTTGGAGGGCAGCCAGGTCCCTCCCTGCTCTCCTTGGCCTGCCAAGAGGGATTGCAAGAAAAGATGGGTTTATTGCAGCAGCCGAGGGAAGGGCAGGTCCCAGTCGGTGTGATTCAGAGGCGTACAATTCTCTTTGCCCTTTTGCACTGCCATTGGAATAAGACACAAGACACCTTGAGTGGGTTTTATGCCTGGGTGCTCCCAGGGGGCTCTGCAAGGCTTTGGGGGGCTCCCAGGGCAGAGCAGGAGCTTCATATTGCTCCGTGTGTGCTTTGTATTTGTTTTATTTTTGCTAGCAGACCCAGGCGCTTGCAAAAGCACTTGCAACGGGGCAAGGAGCCCAAGGACAGGCTGAGCCGTCACAGCCGATGTGGGCTTGCTCAGCAGCAGGATAGGACCCAGCTCCCACAGCTTCACCCCTGCAAAATCTCCTCCACGCGGCTCAGCCAGTGCTGGAAATTCCTCGAGATCCTCCTGGGGGAAAATGCGGGGCTGTGCTTTTCAGGCATAGCAACACTCCCCATGCCTCAGCTTGTAATGCTTCTCCCCTTATCCGAGAAGAAAATGGCTTAAATCAGTCTTTTATCCTCTTACCTCCATGTCTATCGATCCCTGTCCCTTGTCATCCTCTGCTCCTGGAAAAGTATGCCAAATCTGACCACTTCTGCGTCCCTTCACCGTGCCACCAAACTCTCCAGCTCTACCTTGTCCTTCTCCTCACCCTCCAGCATCTTCTCCAAAGCTTCACGTCGATAAAAACATTTCCCTGTCTCCCTCCAGCCAAAACTTGCCGCAGTCCTGGTGCTAACAGCCCATCCCGGCTTGCTCTGCAGGGGAAATAACCTGAAACCCTTCCTGCCATTAGCTCTGCGGAGGGGTAGCATAGCTTGCTGAGCACCCAAGGGTGCTGCCCCGAGGGTTTAAGCCAGTGTGCAAGAACGCATCCAAAATGCCACTCAGTATCAGCGTTTCCATCCTCCCTGAAAACCTCGCTTGGGAAAATACCCGTATTGCAAAAAAACCAAGCAAGCCTATGCTCTCTGGGGCTTCCCTTCCCCACTCCCTTTGGCCACCACCAAGTCTGCCCACGTCTTTGTTTTGGTGCCTGGTTTTCCCCACCAGGCAAAAGACTTTAGAAAGCGAGAGGTGACTTTGAGCATGGGACTTCCCCAGCATGGGACACGGGGTCCCCACCCAGCCGGACCCAAAGCCACCTACTTACGTGACCGGGACAGACCGCAACTTTTCATTAACATCCTATTTATAAGTAAGTTTATAGCAAGTTATGACCTGATTGATGGGCCGTAGACGCACATTAACAAACGTTGAGTAATAGGCTTTGTAGATGGGGAGAGTTGGCAGGAAATAATTGTGGAGTTGGTGTGATTAATCAACCAGCCCACTGGACTCCAGTGCATACATTAACCATACATTAACCCTTTCATTCATAAATATAGCATGTGCTGGAGAGACATTATACAACATGACCTAGAAGCATATGGCTGCTGGTTTGGTGGTGGGTTTGTTTTTTTTTTTAGCAGCTCCCTTTTTTCCATCAGGAAAGCATTAAACATAATCTCAGATGCTCTTGCTATTTTCTGCTCTTGATTTGTGGCTTTTTAAGCGCTTTCAGTTAAAAAGAAAACCCCTCTTTCTCCAGCTGGTTTGCAATGCCCTCGCAAACAAAACCACTAAGCACCAGTGACATCAGTTGCACAGATGTTGGGCACGCAGAAAAAGAGTCTAATTTCTGCTGGTTTGGGGGTTGGACCCAGAGAAGATGGAAAAGCTTCTGATGGCGGAGCGATGTCTTGAATAACTTGCAATAACGGGGCTATGGGATATAGGAGTGCGTTTAGCCGGAGTTTTTCTGCCTGATGGAGGAATTTGTGCTCTGGCTGCCCTCTGCCGGCTCTGGGACTTGGTTGAGATGGAACCCAGAAAGCACAGGCTGTCTGCAAAAAAATCCCCACCACCAAACACCCTTTGATCAACACCACCGCACATCGTAAAATCCCAAGTCCGGCCCCAAAAAACGACCCTCTGCTCTCCCCTGGGGCGACAGCGGCATCTGCCAAATTGCTGCACCCCGAAGTCAGCTGCGTTATTGTCCTGAGCGACCTGACTTTTGCCATGTCTATAAAACCTAAAAAGTGGCTTTTTTTCTTATTTTTAAACTTGCATTTTATGGGTTTGGAATGCAGGGCAGATGAAAGAAACAAGGAGTTTTAAACTTGGGGTTTTATTTAACTGCGAGTAACTAAATCAGTGCCTGCTCTCTGCATCACCGCAGAGAGAAATGTTTAATTGAAACCCCAAGGAAGCTTGAGAAGAAAGAAAAAACACCCAAGGAAACCAAACCGGCCTCGGAAAAGGAGTTTAAAAAAAGAAATAAGTGAATGAAACCTCAGCTCCTCCACCACCACTGCTCTGCCAGGGCTTTTTACATTTGTAACGAGCACAGAGCCATGCTGGGACACTACATCTGTTCTTCTCCGCTTGGCCAGCCCAGCAGGTTGGGGTCCTGGGTACATTTTGGTGATGAAAATGCTGGTCGTGCAGCTATTTGGGGGTGCAGCAGGCACCCCGGGACCAGCTGCAGGGTGCATCCTGGTGGGTGCACCCCCTTTTTAGTGGCTGGTGCTGGAAGATGGAGGCTAAGCCACGGGGTTTTAGCAGGACGACTCATTTCGCCGGCGGACATGGCAGGACTTGCAGAGGAGGTGGTCGTCCAGGGGGTAGCACCCATTCTCTGTCGGCTCTGGTGATAAGGGCGTCCCGCAGCTCTGGGGGCGAGAGGGGAAAGGGAAGCCACGTTTTAGGGGTCCCCATGCTGCATTTGCATGTGACACACTGTGCCATCATATCCCACCTTCCCTGCAAAATCCACCAGCACTTGGAAAAAAGCAGCAAACTACTTCAAAAGCATGAAAAGCTGAAGCTCTCCTGGCCAAACACATTGTCCTTTTAACCTGATTTATCTGTTTTTCCCCCTCCCTGTCACTTGCAAGATAAACTGCTGGCTAAAAAATAACCCTGGGCGCTGTGAGCCCCGTGGCCATGCTTTGCAAAGGCTCGGTGCCAAACACCTCAGCTTTTGGGGGCCCATCAGGACTGTACCTCACAGCGGTAGCAGCTCTCATGGAAACTGCGTCCCAGGCACTCGATCTTGTAGGTGTCCTTGTCCTCGCGGGGGACAATGGGGTGCTCACAGGCGCTGCAAACTGCAGCATATTTCCTGGTGGGAGCAAACAGGAGCGGCATGAGCCCTGCGGGGTGACGAGGATGAGCTGAGCCCCCCCAACATGGGGGATGCTCCCCCATTTCCATGCTCACCGACCTGTAAAAGTCGGCCACGCAGTACACCTCATCCCGCTCGTCCACGGCAAAGCTCTCGGCGCCAATGGCCCGGCCACAGGCGGTGCAGGAGAAGCAGCCAGGGTGGTAGCCCTTGCCCAGGGCACGGACAATGCGCTCCGCAATCAGCCCCCGGCACTTGGCACATTTCTCCAGCGTGGCCTGAATTTTGGGGGACACACACCATGAGATGCCAGCTCCCACTCCAAGAAACTGCATCTGCCACTCCTCTGAGGGCGCTGGTTGTCCCCGAGGAAGGATGGGTACCTGGTAGCAGGCATCGCACGTGGGCCGCCCATCTCTTTGGTAGTAGCGCTGGCCAGCCAGGAGCCGGTGGCATGTCCGGCAGGTGAAGCAATCAGCGTGGTACTGCTTCCGCATCGCCTCCACCGTTGGCTCCCGGGGTCCCACCACTTTGTGGCAGAAGGCACAGATGTCTGCGGGAAGAAGGGAGAGCGGTTGGGTGCCGCGTGCCTCAGTTTCCCGAACTGGGAACAAGCCCACACTGCACAGCTGGGTCCCCCCCTTACCTCTGGAGCTGTCCCTCTCCGGGTACCCATTCGCATCCTGCCACTGTGGTTTGCCCGCTTGCTCCCGGCAAAATTTGGGCAGCCTCAATTCAGTGGGGAGGGCAGAAGGAGCCTGGTAAGCAGGGAAAGCAAAGGCATGCTACATTTATGCTCTTGCAGGTGGGGAAACTGAGGCACTGGGGCAATTGCACCCCATCGTCCTCACCTGGAGGGTGGCAGGTGTTGCAAGGTCCAATTGCTGCAGCGCCGGACCCAGTGCCTCTGCGGACAAGGGCTGGGGCGCTTCGGAGAGGACGAGGACCGGCGGGGATGAAGGCATGGGGGCCGCTGGGCAGATTTCTGCAGTGAAAGCCAGACATGGCAGGTTTAGGGGGGCAATAACATCCAATAACGCCCTGTCACAATAACGCCCCAACAGCTTTGCAGCGGCGCTTGCTGACATGCCCCAAAAGCAAATGCTGTCCCAGCCAGAGTGGACAAACAGCACTGATAAGCGCCCGGCGATGGAGAGCAAACACAGCCCTTCCCCAGCAGCCGGATCCATCCCGGGATGGGTGCAGGGATTTGGGGAATAGCCCCCCCCCCCCCCAAAAACACCCCCC